ATTGCATATTGAATAATTAAATTGTCAATCAGCAGGATGAAAATAATAGAAACATATATTTCATTATATGGGAAGGCCAAAATTCCATCAGAAGATTTTGTCAATTTAATTTAAATTTATTAATTATCATATAAAATCCTATATTCAAAATTAATATCACATATGAAAATACTATATCGATGAATTAATTTAAGTCTATAGAATTAGTGGTAAGATATTCATTTTAAAGGGTATTATTCATAGTTTGACAAACTAATGAAAAGATGAGTACAAAATACTAACTTTTTTGAGACTAATTATTAAATATCCAAGAAATACTTTACAATTAAATCTAAAATGACTTAATATCCTCAATCAAGGGTTTAGACAAATATCTATAAAATATCTAAAAAATATTTCTTATTTTAAAAAAAGATTTATTCATTATTATATATAAAAGATATCTTCAAAATAACTTGACTGATGAAATAACAGAATATACTCTACCTCCCTTAACGATCGTAATTTAAAAAATAAAGAAATTAGTAGTTTTAGAGAAAAATACATAATCTATTTAAATATTAAAATCGTATTATTTAAGACGTTTTAATCGATAATTTTCTTATTAAAATTCAGAAAATAATGAGAATCCGAATTTATATAAATATCACCTTAAAATATATATTCGCGATGACCAAATAATAAGTTAATAATTATACCTTGCTTATTTCGAAAAGAAATAAGTATTTAGAATAAGTAAAACATGACTATCGAATTAATAAGATACGTTGTACCTCGCTTAACGGTCAAAATAAAAAAAAAGAAAAAGTATTTTAGTAATAAATAGACTGTTGGTAGTGCACCTCATCATTCTATCTTTTTTATCTCTATGTTTGTAACTTATCATCATTTATGAAATCAACAGTAAGCAAACTTAGTATTAGTATTTCAACAAAGATTGGAAATGTGTTGTTCATCAATAGAATATCGGATAAAATTATTATGTAAAATACTAATCATAAAAATAATTAACAAAAGAATTAGTTTATATAGCAATTTTTCATTTTTAGAGTTAACTTGAGTTCCATTTTAGTGTTTGGAAAATACTAAAGTAATAATGAAGCTCAAATATTCATCAAATGTCCATTCAAATATTGATATTTGTGATTCTGATCTCAATTATTAAACTATAATTTCGAAGACCTCTCTTTTTGAAATAAAAGTGTGAAAAAACTCAAATTTATGGTTATATTATTTGGCCAAAAGATGTAATTCATCAAATAAGAGATAGAAAAGATGTAAAACCATTGTTATTTAATTTGTTTGATATTTAAATATTTAAATATTTTTTCAATTACACACTCAAGCTAACGTTTATATTATTATAAATGAAATTTTCAAACTTTTAAGTGTAGTCGAATTTACTAATATCTTGTTTTTTATTTAATTTTAGAAGAAAACTTTTATTTGAAAATTAGTTTTCTTAACTTTTTGGGAGAGTTAGATGTAAAAGAAAAAATTTTAATTATTAACTCTCAAAACCTTAAAATTTTGTATTTAGAACAAAATAATCAAATCATAAACTCTAGCTTAATAAAGTTCTAACACTTTCGATCTACGTTTGGCTTCATCAATATTTAAATAAAGTGAAAGATTTAAAAAAAATAAAATTAATAAGGAAAAAATCAAATAATATAAAAATGATTTCTATATGAAAATTAGATATTTATATTAAAGCTGTTGTTTATATGATGAAGAAACATGATTTAACTCAAATAATTGTAAATCATCTATCTGCTAATTAAATTGTATAATCATATAGAATAAAAGTTCTAAAGAGTTGAAATAGTACTTAACAAAAAGATTTATTATAAATCAAACTTTAGCTTACTCATTCAAAATATACTCAAGTTAAATTGATATTGAAGTTGAATCAAATTAGAGCAATCTATAGAATATTGAAATAAGATAAGGAGAATAAAGTATAAAGAATAATAGAAAAAGAAGTTTTACAAATTAGTTCTTTATATTATTTTATTTAGAAATTTAGTGATTAATTAATATAGACTAAAATGAGAGATCAACTAAATAAAGATATTTATTTTTAAATTAATATATTTATGGGCTACTAATTGGATAAATATCAGTCTTTGGCATAAAAATAACTTTTAGTAGAATTAAGATAATTTAAATAGTGGTGTGATGAATATAGATTAGATATAAAAAATAAAAAATGATTTGTAATTGATTTTAAAGTTAAAATGTTAATAGGATGATAATTAGGATGAGATAGATATAATTTATTACAATTAATTTTGTACAGAATTCAGAAAAATTGTTTTTAATGTTAAAAAAAGAAGTA